AAAACCGATGCTATTCCTGTAGCAGTAACACAAGCGCCCATTTTGTATGAATGAGTTCAATTCTTTCATGAGGAGTTACGTGGGCCCAAGTGGATGATCATCATAGCGAAGGATTTCTGCACTGTGGCGTTCGAACGGCTCTATCCAGAGAACGAAACCGTCACTGTCGGTGTATATTGCCTTTCTTCCGACAATGATCGAGTAATGGATGGCACGCACAACTATAGGAAGACCACCGTTACTCATCATAGTGCCAGACCCCGAGTAACTGTATTGTAGGGCAGTGCTGGGACACAAACAATACTGAGACCTGGGTTCAATCGCCCCATTCGCTCAACATAAAGCCGTGCGATTTCCATCTGTTCCATTTGTTCTGGTCAGTCGAAGGTCGAGCTCGACGGCAACTCTACAACGGTTTGTAATTTGCCGAAATTGGCATTAATTACTCGCGCTTCTCAAGAAAATGAAGGTACAAGTGGTTCAACACTTTCGGGGCACTGATGAGGGAGAGATCTACAACTTGAAGCGAAATATTACTTTTTTCTCTATTTTAATCTTCGTTTTATGTGAAAAAACCCTCCACATTTTTGAAGGGGGTGACCTAGCACTTACAAGTCCTTACAAAGTGACCTGTACAGGGATCGCTAAGTACCATTTGTCACCCCACCGAGCAGAACTGCATCAAAAAGTCCGCAGCTTTTGCGAACATCGTTAGTTTTGTATGGCTTCTCCGACCACGTTCTTCGCACACGATGTTTTGTATAGCGCAAACCTTCCTCCCACCCAGCACTTTCGACAAGTCATCGCTGCTCAGTTCTGTACGAGCTGACTCCGCGTTAACAATCGCTCCCTGCACATCGGTCAACCGCGTCCCTAATGCCTAAAGGCCCTATTTGTACCAACGTTCAGGCAGCGTTCAGACTTGTCGCGTTTGAACACGCATTGGTTGTAGCACTCGAATGCGCCTCGTTGTCGCGCGTTGATCATTTCACTGTGATAATGATTTTGTCCGTTCTAAAAAAACTCGTCGTCAAATTGTCAGAAACCCAAAACCTCAAAAACGTCTGAAACTGCATTGAAATCCAATGTCAAAGTGAAATCGAGGAGCTAAGAATCAGGTAGAAATGAGAAACAGTGAAAAAAGGATTGAAGACCCTATTATGTTCTGTTCTTCCCCCTATGAATAAGGGGAAGAAAGAACATAATAGGGAAGCTGGGGTCTGGTACAATTGGAGCGCGCTTGTAATTGTAGCGTGTTCAAGCGCAACAATCAACGCGCGTTCAAGCGCGACAAGTCTGAACGCTGCCTTCTCTATCTTCTTCACTGCTTATGTCGTGACTTTCGTCCGACTCTTTATTACAGGGTCGCGGAGTGGGGCGCGCGGCGGTCCTGGCGCGCTTAGCGGTACGGTCGAACATTCTGGAAGCCGCTAGGGATGCAGAGTCGGCGTCGACTCTGGCCTCTCTCTCACTTCGTCGTCCGCCGCCGTATCGACTGGTCGCTCCTCCGCTCGTCGCCTAGTGTCAACTTCATTGTCCAACTGCTATGGCAACACTTCAATATCAAGGAGCCGTACCTCGCAGGGAGCAGCACTACCTCCGGCCGTGAACATCCCAGGTAACCGCTAGAGGAGGAGGAACACCCGAGCCTCTTGGGCAGCCAGAGGTGAGGGTGTCTCTGAGGCCCCTAGCGGGCTGTACCCTCGTGGCCCATAGGCAGTTTCTTGGCAGGGTTCGTGGGGTCGTACCTTACTTTTACTTTGGGGTTCCCCTTTTTTAGCGATTCTCTTATTATTATTATTGCTCATGGTTAATTAGTAGAGTTGTAAACCTATTTAATTATTCTGCTGTCTGTAATTGTAAACTGCCTTGATCGCCTCCTTTTAAATCGTACCTTAGCTCTCGACCTTATCTTCGAAACTCGTCGTCCCCAGAAAGAAGTCTGTCGCGCAGTGGTTTCTGATCTCTCAGCTAACGCCACCACTCCGGAAGATGCCGCACCTTCTATGAGCGCCCCGACTTTTCTTAGTCAGCGTTCCATTTTGAAGGCGTTACACAGCGGCCGGTGATTTCCAGCGTGATTAAACTCCTGTATGGACACGTACAGCTAGTTGTTTTTTTTCAGGTTAGTTCATATAAAACGGAGTCACAATAAGAAACTTTTAAATCGAAATAAGGCAAAAGGAATCGATGCTGTGGAATGCCCTCTTTTAAGTGTCCGCATTGCTATTGCCAGGAAAATGAGCGGAGAAAAAAGAAAAATGAAGCGAGCGCGCATTAAATATTTTTCCAAGCTAATACTTTGTGAACATGTTCTTTTCTGAGAAACGAAAGGATCCCGTACTTTGTTGTTTTCTCTCACAGGTGGCCATTCACCTCCATACTCGTTCGAAAACTGGTTCCAATCGTTTCGCGAACATTTCTTTGTGTTGTTGGCGCAGTTCTTTTACGCGATCAACCTATGCTATTGATTTACTATTGCTCTCCAGGGAAGTTCGCCAACTTACCATGGAACTTTGAATGGAGACCTGGGTAGATCGATAGAGTCTATAAGGTTATTTACAAATATAGATAGCAAAACTGCAACCTGCATTTCACAAGCAACTTATGAGCAGGTAAAGTTTGTAATGGTGCAGTAGGGTGAGGCTTGGTGGTGAGCTGTGAAGCATAAGCGAGGAATCGCATACGTCGAATCGAGTCGTCGAACGTCGAACCTTACCACTGAACCACCACGACTCGATTCGACGTATGCGATTCCTCGCTTATGCTTCACAAGCCACTCACAAGCCTTCCACTCCTAACTGCTCCATTTACACTTTACCTGCTCATAAGTTGCTTGTGATATGCAGGTTGAAGTTTTGCTATCTATAATTTGTAAATAACCTGTAGACTATCGATCTACCCAGGTCTCCATCCAAAGTTCCATGGTAATTTGGCGGACTTCCTTGGTCAGCGGAACAACGTTGTTCTTGCAGGAAATGACAGCCATCGACTTGGAGACATATCCGTTGCACAAGGCTGCATTTTTCAATGACGTACACTCGATATCACAGCTCATCAAAGCGGGTGAGATTCTTTTTTTTCATGCACGTCGCACACTTTCCCTTTCAAAACCGCTGTATGACTCTTACTGAATTCAGTCACTTTATAATCTTGTTTACTTTACTTTACACTTTATTACCTTTTTCCAGGTCGTAGTTTATACGAACAGGATATGCATGGGAATACAGCGCTTCATATTTCAACAATGCTTGGTCATCGAGGTTTGTTTGTTTAAGTGGACTCTTTGATTAGTCCAAGCAATATTCCAACTTATTTCATTATTATCAAGTGATTGGGAGGGGTGTTATGTAAACACTCGCTATGAAAGCTGTTGCATCCATGACACTGTGAACGATCAAGTATATTTTACTTAGTTGCGGTATCTTTCAAAGCGCTCATGTGTACATGTACCGCCTCCCTTCTTCGGATTGGTGTTCTGTTTATTCTTTGTTTCCTATAGTCGATGGCTCGGTTTTCAAGTTTGTTTGAATGCCTGACTTCAACCTCACCCGCGGTAGCTCGTTTTACTTCTAAATTGCGTGCAACAATGTAACTTTAGGGCTGTATTTTGGGGATGCGGTGAATCCTCAAAAACGTCCATCTTCCAATTAACCCTTTCTCCGACAACGATGGATTACGAAGTCAGTTATAACCCATCAAACCCTATTCACGCACAATCTTGAGTCGCGGGTTATCCAGATCATAGTTGTCCCCTCATTTGCTCTATTTTTTCAATTCGCGGGAGTCTCCCGACTATCTGAAGTATCAAATTCTCTCATTCGCGAAGGACAGGATCAAAGTTCGGTTAAGGGTCAGTTTAGAAATTTCGCGGAATTGCAGTACATAACGGTGACTTTCCACATCTCTGAAAACACGGTATAGGGTAACAGAGTGTGAACTTGTGCAGGCCTTCTTATTTTACGCCCTATGGTAGGGAATGAGTACGAGTGTTCGTTTTGATTTTTCTGAAGTTCCCATTTACAGAGGCTACTGCGCTATTGCTGGCTCATAATGCACCCGTGAAGGTGAAAAATTGTGATGGATGGAACCCACTGATGGAGGCGGTCAGTTATGGTGATAGACAGATAAGTGAGTCCATCGTTGCTGCTTTTTTCTCTCATTCGTTTGTTTTGTTGAGGGAGTTTACCTGCAGAAATATTTCCTTACACGTACGTACTGCGAATACGTTGTTTTTTCTTTCTGTACTTATATCCTCTTCTTGGGCGGGGCGCTGATTGTTCTTTCCTTTGAAGCCTAGATGCTGCTCCATGAGTTAGGTACCGGCATACTCGGTGTCTGTTTTCTTGCTGACCTTTTTCTAACACTATTTAACGGGTGGTGCATCAAGGCGGGGGAGGGGGGCTCAATTCGGCACGGCGCAAGCCCATTCTTCACTAATTGTTGTAGCTTGCCCTCTACAGTAACGTTCACCATCAATTACTGAAGCGGGCCACGCCTAACTCTGTCCTCCTGACACGCCTCAGTATTCGTGGCGGTCAAAACTATATTAGTATTTTAGGAAAGTCTTTCTGCTAATTATTTTTGCCTAATATGTCTATTAAAATCTATTACCTTTTATTAATGGCTTTTCATTTCTCCTTAGTGGCTTTTGAATTTTTATTGAGAGCCATATCAAGGTCCAGTGGAAATTTGCATGCGCCCGCTGAATGAGATCTCAACATGACAGTAGGAGGCAGCAGAAGTGCAAAATGTCCTTCCCCCGTCGTCGAATCGCGCCGAATTCCCTTTACACTGAGCGAAAAAATGCTGTTCGAAAACTTTCGCACGATAGGCACTGAGCATTTCGGTACCTAATAGCTACTGTTAGTACGTTTCCTTTTGTCGCTTAAGAAAACCTCATTTAGTAACGGAGATGCTGCGGAAACTGAAAGCCCAATCTCGTATGGGAATGACTAGTCGTAAAGCGCATCTCATCAAAATGTTGGAGGATATCGGAGATTTTTATCTCGAATTGAAGTGGGACTTCCAAAGTTGGAGTAAGTTTTGAAACTTCTACTTGTGTGATTTGCCGTAGTAAGCCCATCAAAATATTCTTTTCAGTTCCTCTGCTTTCACGAATGCTCCCATCTGATGTGTGTCAGATATATAAAAAAGGTACCCAGTTGCGTATGGACACGACACTGGCAGATTTCAAGTATGCACTTTGTTTTTATAACATTTCTGGAAATATCTATGTTTTTTCCTTGTTCCCTTTTCCTTGTTCCCTTTTCCCTTCACTGAGCTTTTTACTGCGATTCTGGTCATACAGATCGAAGCTGGTCGGGTTGAATCCATGAAATCACACCCTCGTCCCAGCAGATTGTGTGAGCCTCCCATTTCAATCCCTATGAGCCTCCATTTCAATCTCCACACATCATGCTCCTTTCTATGTCTTATACATGATGGTCCGTGGCCCACCGGGCCTAATCATGGCTTTTCTGAAAGCGATTCGAAAATTTTCGTTTTTGGAAGCACCATCTCAGTGCATTGTGGCCATAGGCTGGGCCTATACTAGCCTTATGTATGCCTCATACAGGTTGGCCCACGGCACACCCAACCCAAACTTGACCCGGTGCCCGAGGGTAAATTCAACCTAGCTCCCGATTTCCAGCTTACATGCAGACACCGAGAAATTTCTGGTTTATATCTGTAGGGAGATATTTCAGTGAACGCCGATGGGAGCGCGGTGATATATCCTTCGTTTTTAATGCCAAGGCTAAGTACGAGTCCGATGAGCTTATTATCATGGACAACAATGCAAAGGTCAGTTTTCTATCCCTGTTCTCGGCATCAGAAGTAATTTTCACTACCATTCGGGGCAAAGCCTTACGTACAAGGGGAGGGAAAGGGAACGTTCACAACACGTCGCGCTTTGTTGCATATTGGGTTATGAGAAATACCCTTTGAAATTCTTACATATGTACTCCTTCTCTATGTACTCCTCAAGTGCTCCTGCATGCACTTTTTGGGTAAAACCATGCTCTTATGTTCTTCTTGTAAGACAAACGCTGCTCTCGAGAAATGTACTGCACTCTTTCCTTGTCAAATTACGATCTTGTGCAGTCGGGTAGCCTTCTGTAGCCTTGATGGTAGTGAGGGTTTTTCAGATTCCTTGCTCACTCAAGTAGAGCTCGACAGTTTCTGTAGGGAATCTCATTATCTTGAATAATCGTCTGTCTGATCTGCCGGTGATGCAGTGGCAGAAGGTCCGCCTACCACGGGGTCCCGGCTCGCCTGCTTACAGAGCCATTCTATTGTACAAAGACGTAGTAAAGCTGTACGAAGGTCATCTGGGAGGACAAAGACAACTGAATTGCACCATCATCTAGCCTCCAAATCATTGTATAGGCCATTTCGCATTCAGTGAGCCACTACGATTCTGAATAGAAGCAGAATGTCTGCTTTATTACCAAAAGGGATCGGACAACAGCGAGATTCATTCTTTATTAGTATTTATATCGGCCTAGCTTCTCATCAAACTTTATTCGGTTTTCATTTCGGCGTTGTCGTCCTTCTCGAAGTGGGTTCGTACTTGGCAATTGGGTGCACGATCAGATCGCTCGCGTTACCATCCTGACGTGTGAATGCTATTTGCAACTTTAGAAAAATCGGAGGACGCTGAGGGAACTAGTAGCTCCCTACACTATTGTAACCAATGAAATTCCATAAGGGGAGTGAACTAATGGAAGAGAGTTATCTCAGTCTTACTTCCATTACGTTTCTCATCGTTTCCGAATATCACTTTTTACCGACCATCTTTCAATTAAATATACGATGTTACAGATTTCAGCAAGATTAGGTATTTGACATTCTGCATATATTAGTTAACTTGAGCTCGTCGTAATTTCAAAAGAGATCATCGAGCATAGCTATCCCTCTTCAGGTGTTCCAACGAGTACGTCATGAGGAATCTGAGGCCGAAGTCGATGAAGAAGTGGATGTGTTGATGTCGTCGGATATCGTTTCAGCTCAGGTTTGTACAATGTAGCTTGGAAAGTCGAGTTTTCGTCATTTTCTCAGATTATTATTATTATTATTATTATTAATTATTATTATTATTATTATTATTATTATTATTATTATTATTATTATTATTATTCCAGATGTCAACGAAAACGATCACTTTTCGACAAGCGTTTTCTGGATGGGTTTTCAAACATGCTAGAGAGGTAATGTCTGTTTAACATTGGCCTACTATCTGCCATAGTAATAACGGTAGTCCTTTAGCTGGCGTGCCGTTTTAATCTGCCATAGTAATAACGGTAGTCCTTTAGTGGGCCGTGCCGTTTTATCTGCCCGATAGTAATAACGGTAGTGCCTTTAGGCTGGGTGTCGTGCCGTTTATGCTCGTACAAATAAAATGTTGGTTTTCCACTTCAGGAGCAAATTGGTGACTATAATGTCAATTTCTATCTGGTAGAAGGAATGAGATTAGTATCACGAAAGAGACGGGAGCATCTGACTGCTGATGATATTAAAAAGAACAAATCTTTCATGCAATCGTTGGCAAGTGGTGCTGCTGTGGGTGATGAGGATTTCAAGGTAAAATTCTTTTTCTGCTCTCCGACTTGATGTTTCTTTACGTTCTGTTTTTTGAAGCCCTGCTGAAGTAGTTTTTTTTTCAGAATTCTATCATGAGGGTTTTTTTATGAATTCTTTCAAGCGATTTTTTGAGTGAGTTGTATTCAGAGCCTTCAACATCGGAAGTCGTTAGCACCACCTGGTCGAATGCCAACAACTTGGGAGGAATATGTGGGTGCCGCGCCTGGAGCCGCCCCACCTCTCGGAAGGGCACAAATCTTGAAACAGAATGAAAAACAATTCACCCGCTTCTTATTGGAATGGGTAAGTTCTTAGCTCTTACGTTTTCAGTTGTTTTTTTATTTATTTTTCATATTGCCCTCCATTTCTCGAGTTTGTTCAAACCTTAACATTAGGGGGAATGATAATGATGATGGTTGACCTCTCTTTCCCTCCTGTTCTCTCTCTTTTTTGAATATTAGCCCCACAAAAGTACTATTCCTGATAGTTGGTCGGAGGAGGGTACCCCCACCCCACACTCATCACGGCGCCAAAATGTTGCGCTTCGTAAGAAGAGAAGCGTAATAGTTTACGCAAGCAGAATTCTGCTGAAAAAGGAAAGAGAGGGGGGGGGGCTAATATCTAGGCAAATTTTCTGCAGCTACAACACGGTAATGTAGCTCATTATGAAGGAAACGCGTGACATTTAGGAAAGTACCTTCAGACTTAATGCCACTGAAATTTGGCATCCAAATGCTTTGTTGTTTCATAATGTCCCTCACCTCTTTTGGACTGCGCGCCATTATTTTTCGGAGTATCACTATTAAAAGACCTGGTTTCTCTTTTTTTCTAACACTTGTTTCTCTTGCGATAATCTGTACGATTTCCAGAGCGAAGATTTCCCCATGGGAATAGATGTTCTTCTCGATATTCTCGAAATTGTCGCACCATTTAAGCATCTCGATAAATTGCGGCGTTTCTGTGAAGCAAGACTTCCGCCTGGTTTCCCTGTGCGTGTAGGTATGTCCCCTTAATTTTTTTGGTGTTTTTCAATTTTTATCAAAGCAGCCTTAAGTCTTTGATTACCAACTCAGTAGGCTTGTCCTGAGGTAGAATGAATTTTGTGTAAAGGCGCCATCCATCACGACCAGTTGTGAGCAGAGGGTTCACTAATGGATGTTCTGGTCCTGGTTAGCTCTCAGTAATGGAAAAACGAGAGAGAGTTTCGAAATCCCTTAGATCGAATGCCCTGCCCGATCCGGAATTGTGCGATGACGTCACGCGCGAAGAGGAGAGCGGGATATCGTCTTATGGTGTTTATCGACGGACCCAAGCTGATAGTTTTGTCGTGGGGCAGGGCACTTTGTACGTTGGGACCGCAGCGTACGACGGGGAGGGGGCGTATTTGTTCGGTGGAGAGAGGGTCTGCTTCGAGGTGAATGATTTCGGTTATTGACTTACCTTCGTTTCTTCCGTTTCATGGTGCCCACGCACCACCCTCCTTCCCCACCCACCTCTCGGTTCACCCAATGGCATTTATTGAGGGAAAGCTGGAGAATTCTGTAGGCGTTGTGGAAAATACTGTAAAACGACCCAATTACAGTGTGTGGAAGCGGCGGTGGCTTACAGAGTAGGAATTGTTGAGCGGGGTTCGTATTCTGCCAAATTCTAAATTTTCCCCCAGCGGCAGTGTCGAAATGGTTCTCGTTCTTTTCTCTCGCTTTTGACTCCACGTACACTTTCAAAGTTTATATTTTTCAGAGATTCCCTTGCTCCCTACGATATCAGCGAAGGGTCACTTTTCCAAAAGCTCAAATTTGTGGGACTAATTCTCTCGGACAAAAAAAATTTTTTTTTTTTTTTTCCTTTTTCTCCCAGCATCGATTCCGGGATCCAACGAGATTCCCGGATTTATGAATGCCTAACTGATTGTGCAAGAAGACTACTTACGCAGCAATGCGGCAATCACAGCTTGGAAATATATTCCTTCACATACAACTCTTGGATCATCTAACCTGCACCATGGATTACTATTGGCCAGCGAGTGGCCATTTTCCTTTCTTTTTTCCTTCAGTTGTAGCCAGTATATCTTCGTTCTGCAAGATAGTTATTTCATAATTTAGGATAGTGGTCGATTGCGTGCTCACGCCAAATTATTACGGAAGACCTTTTTTGTTCATGAATTTCCCCATGAATTCATATAGTACCAGTTGAGGTTTACGGTATCCACTAGTTATCACAAGAATGCTGAGTTGTGGGCAAAAGTCGTGCCCCAGGCGGGAGTCGAACCCGCACCTCACGCTTTCCGGGCGAGTGCGCTATCCGTTACGCCACCAGGGCCGCTTTTACCCTCTCAGCTTGACGGCTTTTATGCCGTAGCCTATCAGCACTCACACGTTTATTTTGGTGAGCCGGTCAGCCGTAATCGGTGGGATATCGGCATGAAACCGCGAGGCCTAAGGCTTTAGATGTTTTTGAAGCTGTTTTGTTATGATAACTGCTGTTTAACGCCGCAGTACGCGTTCCGAATGTTATCACAAGAATGCTGAGTTGTGGGCAAAAGTCGTGCCCCAGGCGGGAGTCGAACCCGCACCTCACGCTTTCCGGGCGAGTGCGCTATCCGTTACGCCACCAGGGCCGCTTTTACCTCTGACATTAAAAAGAAAGCGTGAGGTGCGGGTTCGACTCCCGCCTGGGGCACGACTTTTGCCCACAACTCAGCATTCTTGTGATAACATTCGGAACGCGTACTGCGGCGTTAAACAGCAGTTATCATAAAAACGGTATCCACTAGCATTTCCATCGACATAGGATCCTATAACGTAGGTAGCACGTTTTTATATCCCGTAAGTCACATCAAGTTCATATCTAGAGGGGACATGGATTTGTGTGGTGTGAATGGGTGCAGTTCGGCTTGGTAAAGGCATTTTTCTGGTTCTATCTACCACACCGATGTGGATACGGTAAATTCCTGTGAAGTTATGTAGTAGCATAGCTTGTTCACGCGTGACAGTGTTCATAGGTCGGCGTGCGACCATCAGGAACTAACAAAAGGAACTAGCGGAAGTGCAAAATGGCACTCCCAAGCCGAACAGCGCCATATGAATGTCACGGACGCCGGCATTCTTTTCGAATAACATGGAAAATTCTCGAGTTTTGGCAAATGTTCAGACATGTAATGTAGCATATTTCGCTTTAACGTAGTTAGGAGGGGCCCTTTTAAGAGCCTTCACGCTCCACGCCATGGAATCGCCCCAGCCCAGAGTCAGTCACTGGCTTTTTCTCCAACGACGTTAGGGGCCATCTTTTTAGATGTTAGCGTGCTCTGGGTTAAGATTGTAGGTTGATCATCTCAGATTGTTGGTTGTCGATCTGCAGTCACCCGCAGACCGCGGAGAAATCGGGAGGATTAATTGCTGCTTTGGGGAATAATGTAGGAGCAGTTGAACAACTGTCACAATCTTTTTTCAGCTTTTGACAGCCTATTAAGTACAATGGCACGATTACAGCGGGGTGGGCGGTTGCTTTGCAATGTCATTTGGTGGCAGGCGAAGAGAAGTGGGGCATTTAACTATTACAGTCCTTTTCACCAGTGCACGACTGGGAATAACCGCGCTGCATTTTAGCCAATCGTGCTCATTGCCCCTTAATTGATGTATCCCCTTATTTATTTGATTGTGATTCAACTTCGAGGGTGGATTTTCTACAAAAATCTATTAGCATGGCCTATACAATACTACATCTTTACCTTTCTATTCTCTTTGGTGGCGCTATGTGCTTCGGGGGTTGGCTTGGATCCAGTGGTGCTTGATCACGTCATGTCTGCGCGTCTGCGCCCTCTCACCGAAATAGGGTGGCATGTTCTGACCTGGCTCAGTAGACGTCAGAAAAGCCATCCTCTAACTGCAACATCTCTCCAAAGCAGCAGGACGTGATTCTGCTTCACTATAGAGTTGCCGCTCCCACGTTCATAGTGTCCTTTGAATTGTATCGCGCGCGGAAAAGAAAATTTCGCTGGCCGTATTTTCGCCCAGTGTCCGGTGGTGAGGAGGATGTCATTCGCGCTTTCCTAGGTATCACACTGCTGTGAACTAGCCGTCAGTTCGTTTTAATCTGATAGTGCTCTATGTTCACTTATTTAACTTTGTTTGCTCCAGTACTGATTCAATGGTATTTTCAATTCGAAGAGATTCTTAACGTCTGAACATCCTAGTGCTGCTTTACTTTCACTGAATTCCGGCTGATTGACTTATTGCTCTTGTACTTAAAACCACATTTAAAATGATCTCGGGTGCTACGGAGCTTGCACCTCTTGTTTATTATTTATTACAATTTTATATTGGTTGTATTATTTGTAGCACACCATAGTTGTCAACGATCCTAACGGGTCAAATGATCGAATACTGTGTATCCAACCTGTGCATGATTCTATCAATCCCGTTTTTCTTCATTACGAGTTCGAGTGATTATTCCGCGACTGTATGATTTTTATCGAATTTTTTGTCTACTCTTTGGGCTTCGGAAGGTTTTCCATGCCTCGATCGGCTGTTTCTCACATTTTTTATTATCTATTTGTAAATTCGTGCTAGTCATTTCTTTGTTAGCTCAGGCTTTGAATGCAGACCTTTCTCTGAAGTTTGTGAAAGTGTTGAAATGCATTTAATGAATTTTTTTAAACACTTTTAAATTTTGTCTATCTATAACAAGTGGCCGTCGAAGGTAAGGGCACGTGACAAGACATTCGTGACTCATCGCACTCATTGGTGGGCGTCGCATGCGACGTTCGCGCTTAGAAGCTGTTGGCGACGATGTCCCCAGATAGTGTGTAGATGGTGGCAATAGACAATGCATCACCAAAATTAGTCATCAATGTCTACAATTTTGCGGTCACACGAAATAAGAAGAGACTTCATGCAGCGGACTGGCTAAGGAAAGTGAAAAAAAATGCCGCGGGCGACGGAGCGGCAGAATGTCTTGACTGTCTTCCCAGAAGTTGCCCATAGGGCATTCCATATAATAGGCTGGACTTGGTTTTCCAATTTCAATTCTAAAACGACTATTTTATTCCTTTTACTTGCTCTATATATAAAGGGGGGGGGCAAAAAGGTTCACTTCTTCTTTCCATTGAGAACTTTTCGAGGCACGCTATAATTACACTTTATTAAACCCTCATTCGGCGCATTTTTCATATCACCATATTAAAGAAGCATATTAAGTACTTCATACACTCCACACAGATCTGACGAGCGCCCATCGAGAGATTCCTGGCGCGACCGCGATTCGTGGTGCTGAGCAGCATCAGCGAGATAGTCGACTTCTCCGCCCAACCGTGTGACCACCTATCGAACTCCGCCCGAACCGGGTAATTGAAGGGATTCAGGTCAGGTGACCTACTTGGATATTCCATCTTCTTTAGGTACCCAGCCCCCTTCCATTCCAAGTAGGCGAGAGTTTCCAAACGCCCTTCGATTCCATGTGGTGCCACCCAATGCTGTAGCAGTACAAAGTTCAAGAAGGTACGGGCGACGACATGTGAGAGGATATTCTTCTTTAGTTGCTCGATGTAACCGCCAGCGCTCACCTTCAGTCCGGGGCCCACGAAGAAAATATTGGTCTTTCCATTCCAGGTACGTCCGGTCCATACCATCAACCCGCGCCTTGGCGACTGCCGTGAAGATGATGTCCTAGACCGTAGCGACGTTGTCGGAATGCTCGATGTTGGAGGTCTTCCAGAATGAGAGGACTGGTCACTGGGTAGCATGGGGGCTCCATACTAGAAGTTCGCGGTTGTTTGGCAAGTGACGTGAATTCAAAGGATCTTCGCCATCAGTTGCGACTGGCGGATGAGCTTCATATTCTGCCTGTACATGAAGGTGATGGGCGAGAGCCAGCTCCTTCTTGTAGAGGAACATATTGGGTATCTTCCGCCCTGGTACTCGTATCCACGTCCTCTGTCTGTGCAGCGAAAACCGCTGATATGTGACTCGGTCGAAGTGAACTTTTTTTTGGCCCCCCCCCTGTATATATTACTTTACATGCTGGACAGGCGAGAACAGACAAAAATTCAACTTGAAGTCACATTTAATTTCTGAAGGCAATGATACTTAGACGTCAGAAGTGAAGCTATGAGTGCTAATCAACTAAGCTGTCGTGCTGGGGCGCTTCCTGTTCCCTCATACTGAGCGGTCTGACCAGGTAAACCCAGGGCCTCTAGACGTAGCATCGGTCGTCTGGAGGGGAAGGGATCCGTCCTCGCGCCGCCGGAGGCCGTTGTAGTGCGACTTACGAGCGCTTGCCCAGGCTCGCCACGGTGTTGCCACGCGGGTATTGGTGCTGCTACACGCAACCGGTAGGCCCTTACTGCCCCTACGCTGTGTGAGCACTGCGAGCATGTACCCACTACCTTCCTACCTACGCCCTGTCCTCGCACCCTACCTGGGGACATTAGCTTTCACGGCTGATCAGATCGTTTACGCCATTAGTTGCCTACTCAGACCAACAGCCGACGCATCACAAACTATACTATGAACTGTGATGAAACCATGGAAGATAAATGTATGGAAACGACGTGGTTTGACCACTATTGCTACGCGACAGTACACAG